AGGAGACATGTCACTGCCAAGTACGTGCCTGGCCACTGCTGTGCCGAGCCTCAGCCCACTGTGTTCTGTTTTTCTTTTTCTTTTTTTTTTTTTTGACTTGGAGTCTCGCTCTGTCGCCCAGACTGGAGTGCAGTGGCCACTCCCGGCCACCACAGCCTCGACCTGCTGGGCTCCGGTGATCCTTCCGCCTCAGCCTTCCAAGTAACTGGAACTACAGGGGCACGCTACCACACCCGGCTAATTTTTTTGATTTATTGTAGAGATGAGGTCTTGCCAAGTTGCCCAGGCAGATCTCAAACCCTCGGGCTCAGGCAATCCACTCACCTCAGCCTCCCAAGGCACGGGAATATAGGCTGAGCCACCGAGCCCGGCAGTGTTCTGTTTTTCTATGTGAAAAGCAAAGCCTGACTGGGCATGATGGCTCACACCTGTAATCCCAGCACTTTGGGAGTCAGGAGGATCGTTTGAGACATAGGGAGACCCCATGTCTAAAAAAATACAAAAATTAGCTATATGGGGTGATGTACACTTGTAGTCCCAGACTTAGGAGACTGAGGCAGGAAGATCGCTTGAGTCCCAGAGTTTGAAGCTGCAGTGAGCTGTGATCCTGCCATTGCACTTCTGCCTGGGTGACAGAGCCAGACCCCATCTCAAAAAAAAAAAAAAACAGTCGGGCTCGGTGGCTCAGCCTGTAATCCCAGCGCTTTGGGAGGCTGAGGTGAGTGGATTGCCTGAGCCCGCGGGTTCTAGACCCGCCTGGGCAACTTGGTGAGACCTCATCTCTACAATAAATCAAAAAATCAGCCAGGCATGGTAGCACATGCCTGTAATTACGGCTACTTGGAAGACTGAGGCAGAAGGATCGCCGAAGCCCAGCAGGTCGAGGCTGCGGTGGCCAGGAGCGGCCACTGCACTCCAGTCTGGGCGACAGAGCGAGACCCCAACTCAAAAAAAATAACCTCTCAACATAGTAAGTGTTTTCAAGAAGTTAAATTTATTTAATGCAGAGGACTGACCTTTATTCTGAGTCTAGGTCTTTCCTATTATATTGGTGTGAATTTTTTTTTCTTTCATAAAACAGTTGAGCTAGATGTATACTCCAGTGTCTTTCCTTGGTAAAACAAGAAGTCAGAAACCTTATAGTGGTTCTCTGTATTTTTTGTTAAACCAACCTTGTCCCTGGATTTTTTTTAAATGGCATTCAGCAGGCTTCAGCAAACCATGGGCCACATCCAGCCCAACACCTGTTTGTGAATAAAGTTTTATTGGAACACAGCCTTGCACAGTTGTTGACTTGTCCTCTTGCTGCTACTGTGAATAAAATTGTATTGGAACTCAGCCATGTGCACTTGCTGGCATGTCCTCTCGCTGCTACTATGAATAAAGTTTTATTGGAATGTAACCATGTACACTTGCTGGCATGTCCTCTAACTGCTTTTGTGAATAAATTTTATTGGAACACATCCAGGCATACTTGCTGGCATGTCCTCTTGCTGCTTTTGTGAATAAAGTTTTATCGGAAAGCAGCCATGCACACTTGCTGCCATGTCCTCTTTCTGCTTTTGTGAATAAAATTTTATTGGACCGCAGCTGTACACACTTGCTGGCATGTCCTCTTGCTGCTTTTGTGCTACCCTTCAAGGCTGAGCAGTGTAAACAGAGGTGTGTGACCAGCAAAGCCTAACCTAGGGACTCTCTGGCACTTACAGAGAGCATCTTGGGCCTCTGGCAAGGGGATAGGACAAGCTGTCTTCTGTCGTGGTAGAGCCAATTGCTAGGCTGGACCTGACCACAGGCCTCCTCTGTGGGCCTCGGGTGTCCCCATCTGTCAAAGGAGAAGGCAGGCCACAGTAAGGTCCCCACAGACCTGTCCACCCACCTCTTTCCCATTCTGCACATCCCAGCCCGGCCCTCTGGGATGCCAAGCCTCACCTCCACAGCCCAGCCCAGCCTCTCCTCAGACCTCCAAGGTTCCAGGGGGGCTTTGTTTTCATTCGTAGCATGAAATAACCACACACCAGCGAGTCTCCCCGGGAGGCTGCTTGGAGGATATAGTCTTGGTGGGCGGGGGATCTTTACGCGTGGCCCTGGAGGACTTGGGGGTCTTTAATGACAGACCGGCTGTGAATGCCTGTTCCCATTCCCACCTGAGAGCACGTGAGCTTGGCCCGTGATGGAGTTAAGGGGATGTAGTGGGATTATCTGAGCCCCTCGGGAATCAGGGGAGGGAGTCCTCCGTGGGTGGGGGCTCCCTGCCATTCTGCTAACTTGATTTATCGCTGATGAGGTGGGTGCAGGCGGGCGCTGGAATGGGGTACTATGCTGGCCTCTGTGTCAGCACAGATTGGCCACCCCGGGGTGCCTGGAGCCCTGGATGATCGCCATCCCTCCGCCTCCCCCGGCTGGTTGGGCCCCATGGAGGAGATCTGGAGTCCAAAGCCTAAACCCTAGCTTTGCTCCACCACAGCCTGCAGTGAGATTGGGCCCAAGTTGCTCCCGTGTGCACCAGGAAGCCATGGGCAGCTCTGAGACGTGACATTGAAGCACAAGAGGCCTGGGGCAGGTTGAGCACATGATGGGGGAGGGCCCAGGCAGTGAGGGGACAGGGAGTTGGAGAAAGCCGGTCAAGGCAGCTGGAGGAGCTCTGAGTCCCGCCCAGTTAGAAAGCCCATTATTCCTGTAAGTCCCAGCCAGTCCCCATGGCTCTGGTGATTGTAGCAGACATGGGCTTGGCCCCTCCTTCCCATTCATCCCCATTCTGTCTCTCTCCCTCTCCACCCCCTCCACGGCCCCCCTCACCCCCCCCATCATGGCTGGAGAGCACCTGTCTGTGCCAGGTGCATGGCCCTCACTCATGTCACAGGCGAAAATGTCGGGCCATGGTGGGGAACACAGGTGCCTTGGGAAGCTGGAGTGGCCTCTCCCGTTGGCCTCTGAAACCAGAGGAGCCAAATTCTGTCACCTGCAAGCCCAACGATGCTCTCAACTCTGCTCTTCCTAGAGGTGGAAGATTACCATAGAGTTTGAGTGCAACGTTGGCTTTGCTTGTCTGGGGATGCTTTGCTTTAGGAAGGCAGAAGCACAGGAGCAAAACACTTCCACCCTACAAATGAAATTCTGCAAGTGTGCATGTGTGCGTGTGTGTGCGTTTTGGTAAGCAGCTTTAAAACTCCACAGGGCACCAGGCCCAGGGTCTCACGTCTGTCATCTCAGCACTTTGGGAGACTGAGTCAGGAGGATTGCTTGAGCCAGGAGTTCAAGACCAGCCTGGGCAACATAGCGAGACTCATCTCTAAAGAAAATTTTAAGATGAGCCAGGTGTGGTGGCATACGCCTATGGTCCCAGCTACTCAGGAAGCTGAGACGAGAAGATCACTTGAACCCTGGAGTTCAAGACTAGCCTGGGCAGCATAGCAAGACTTTGTCTTTACAAAAATAAAAATATAGCCGGGCTCAGTGGCTCAGCCTGTAATCCCACGCCTTTGGGAGGCTGAGGTGAGTGGATTGCCTGAGCCCGCGTGTTCGAGACCAGCCTGGGCAGCGAGACCTCATCTCTACAATAAATCAAAAAATCAGCTGGGCGTGGTAGTGCATGCCTGTAATTCCGGCTACTCGGAAGGCTGAGGCGGAAGGACTGCCGGAGCCCAGCAGGTCGAGGCTGCGGTGGCCGGGAGCGGCCACTGCACTCCAGTCTGGGCGACAGAGTGAGACTCCAACTCAAAAATAAAATAAAATAAAATAAAAATATTAGCCAGGTGCAGTGGTGTGTGCCTGTAGTCCCAGCTACTCGGGAGGCTGAGGCAGGAGGATCACTAGAACCTAGGAGGTCAAGGCTGCAGTAAGCTATGATCACACCATTGCATGCCAGCCTGAATGACAGTGAGACTCTGTCTCAAAAACAAACAAAAAACTCACAAGGCAAAGTAATTTCTGTTGTATACAAATCATGTTACTCAGATGTCCCTGTCCACTATCCTTTGTGTAAACATTGTGCATGTGTATATCTACAGGAGCCCTATATGTGTGCATGTGTATGAAGTCCTTTCTGCCTGCAACCCTGACCTCATATGCTGACCCAGCCAAGTGCGGTGGAAGGGACAGTGTGGTGATTCCCAGGAGCCCAACAGACACCTCTCCTGTGATCCCTGGCTCTGGCTGGGTCCCCTGCCGGTGGCTGAGCCCAGCACTGTGGCAAGGGACAGGAATGTGCTAATTCCACTTGCCCCCCAGGAGGAAAGGGTGAACAGCAAAGAAGCTCCAGGCCCATTTCCAGAGGTGGGCATGCGCCAGCCTGCAGGACAGATCCCAGTGTGCAGATGGGGAAACTGAGGCACCAGCTAGGAGAGTGTAGGCAGCTTACCCAGCCCCTCTGGGGCCACGCTCGGCTCTGAACCACAGATAGCCATGGAACCCACAGCACCACGGGGTCACTCCCTGTGACTTTACTTCCCCATGTGCAGCCTCTCTGAGAGGTCCTTCCAGGTTGGTTTTTCCACTGTGTCTTCTGCTGGTGTTTATTATGCACCTTCTGTGTGCCCAGACCCATACTAGGTCTAGTTTATCATGTGTCTGAGTCTCTCCCTGTAGGCCCTGCTGGGCTAGGTGACTGCAGATGCCTCGGACCATAAAGTTATGGGGCAGGAGCCCCGGCTGGGGCAGAGTGGCCCTAGGCCTGACCCACTGGCCCCAGCCCTGGAAGCCTGGAAATTCTTCCTGCCCCGGCCTCAGTCTGTCCCCAGCTGAAAAAGGAAGAGGTCAGAGCAGATGACCTCGCAAGAGCCTCAGCTCTAGAAGCAACCTGCCATGACTCTGTGGGGGGAGAGAAGGGCACTTCTCAGCACTGAGCCAACAGTTACTGGGACCAGCACTAGTGGGGAAGGATGTGCGGTGACCACATCCCAGCAAGAGGGCCTCGCAGAGGATGGCAATGGCTCCCCGGGTGCACAAGGGAGCCTCAGCCCATGTGCTGGCCATCCTCTGAGCTACCTTCTCCTTTCCAGGCACCTACGTGATGACTGTGACGGCCAACGACGCTGATGACAGCACCACGGCCAATGGGATGGTGCGCTACCGTATCGTGACCCAGAGCCCCCAGAGCCCATCCCAGAACATGTTCACCATCAATAGCGAGACGGGGGACATTGTCACGGTGGCAGCGGGCCTGGACCGAGAGGTGAGGCGAGGAGGGCCATGAGGGGCGGGGAGGCCCAAGTCCCCACAGGACATGGGTGTCTGGGGAGCATCACCACAGTGCACTCAGGAAGGGATTGAGAAACTGCCCGATGCTGGCCTTCTGCCATGGGCTGGACAGAACTGGGCATACAGTTGAGGCCAAGAAGAAACTCAAGTGTCCATTGCCAGCTGCTCTGGTAGTCACTGAGCTAGTGCCATGTGAGGCTTCCAGAAAATGCCCTGCTGGTGTGTGATGGTGAGAGGTGTCCAGAAAAGCAGAGATGACCCCCTGTGGGCCTCAGGGTCCAGCCATGGCAGATGCTCTGGGTCTGGGTGGTCTGATGGCCCCTGGTGAGACCTGAGTGCATATGCCAGTCTCAAAGTCCACCCTCTGAACCAAGCATCCTTGAGACAGTCCTTCCCCTCCCAGCTGCCACATGCCCATGTATGACAGTATGGGCACAGAGATACAGTACTGTCATGCAGCCCGAAACAATCAGGGCACATGGAGCAGCCCCTGACTTGGTGCTAGGTTCTGTGACTCCCAAGCCCAGACCCATCCTGTGTTCCTGAAACTTTGTCACGGTCACCTACCTCCATCCACTGTCCTGAGTGCCCACCCTGCTCATAGCCAGACCCAGCAGGATGCCAGGGAAGCAGGGGAGGTCAGTGGGTTTGCTTCCATGGCTGGGACATCCCCAGGGTTTGGCCATGTGTCCCTGTTAGGACGCTCCCATGGCAACCAGAGAGTCATCACCAGCTCCTGGCTCATGGACCCCAATAGCAGCATCATGATTCCCCAAGTACCAGGACAGGGCATTGCCAGACTCCTCTGCATCAAGACCTCACTCTCTGTCCTCCTGTTTGTGCTGTGACCAGAGAGGCCAGTGTCATCCCAGGCATGATTGACCCACAGAGATGTTTGGCTCCCAGGACCCAGGAGAGCAACCTCACTGAGTTTAGAGTAAACCTGTCTCACCAGCCCCAACCAGTGCGAGCTCCATGGCCTTCATCCTCTGGGTCTGCAGGGCCCCTCCACCAGCTGGGGCGGGTGAGATGGGACCCAGGACTCGCTGGGGTCCTTTTGGAACCGAGTCTGGCAAGGAAGTTGCAAACTCTCCTTCCTGGGTTTGGAGCCATGGGGCCCGGATCCCATGAGCTCTGAGAACCATGTTGTCCTGCCTGGAGTCTCTGCCTCCACCTTTCAGATCAATCAGTGCCAAGTTGAAAAACTGAAAACCTCCCGTCCCTGTCCCTGGGAAGGGCACGAAGCAGTTTTCTTGGAAATCCCCAAAGTGTAGTAGGTGGTGCCCACAGTGGCACATGGGGGCAGGCAGGCCACATGGAAGATGCTTTTGTGGTCATGTGAGGTGGCCCAAAGGTCAATGTGGGCTCAGGAACCAGACAGCCAAGCCGTGGGCATATCTAAGGTCATGACCCGCCCAGCCCCACTGCCTCTGGTCTGTGGTCTGTGGAAGGTGATACAGCCTCAAGCTCTGAGGGTGGGAAGCATGGCACCTCAGAGCTTTGGCCATGCAGCTTGGACACATGTTTGTGGAGTGATGCTGGGGGAACTGAGGGAGGGGAAGAGGGAGGGGCCAGACGCCTGGGGCTCAGCATGCTGTGGTCAGTACCGGCACCTCCTCCCAGGGTGGGAGACTCCATCAAGTCTCCAACACCCTCCCAGCGACCTCAGCCAGGCAAGGCTTCTTGGTCAGAGCTGCCCTGCCCTCATCCTGTCCTGTGACTGGAGAAACGGTCCCATGGGCCTTGACTGTGACCCCCATGTGGGGAGGACCATCTGCAAGGTCCACACAGACATGAAGCAAACCAGACCCTGTCCCCATCTCCTCCACAGCCAAGTCCCCACCTACCTGGGGAGAGAGGGCGGCCTTGTGCCCCCCAAACAGCCATGAGCAACACATGTTTCTCCAGGCTGGCACCTCGCTGAGGATTTCCATGCCTCTCAGCGGCACCACATGGTCTGACAGGGTGTGTGCCTGGAAGCCCACACTCACACACATGCACACACATGCAGGTTCCAGGGGTGCGAGTGGGATGCAGCTCCCAGCTGTGTCCTCAGAGAAGGGGCCACACAGCCCAGTGAGCATCAGGCCGTGGGCACCATCCCTCAGGGGTGATCCCTCGCAGTGGAAGGCTTACTGAAAACCACAGGGTCCCCATCCATGAGCATTAGCTCATGGATTGCAACAAGGAGAAAGAAGGGACAGACACAGGGCGTGAGGGACGACTGGGGAGATTAGACAGTGCCTCAGCTTCCAGGCGCATGGCCAATGGCTGGTCACAGTGGGCGGGCATGGCCAGACTTGCATGGTGGGTGACTCGTGGTCCTCACTCTCCATGGACATGTGGAGTCCTGGAGGCATGGAAGTGGAAAGATTAGGCCCTTCTGCAGAGAACTTGGGAGGTGCTCCAGGGAGAGTCCTGCTGTAGTGAGTCCAGTCTGGCCTCTGGCACGGCCACCCCTGGGCAGGAGCAAACGCTGACTCACTCCTGTCCTTGTTTGGTGAACATAAACAGAGGTGTTGGGCAAGGCCTGGGACGTGGAGCTGGTTAGGGGATGCTTGCATTCAAAACAAGGTCTTCAAGGACAACACGAGCCCAGATGGCAGGACCCCAGGAGTGATCGAGGGAGCCGTGGAGCCCACAACACCTTTGGGTTTCCCCCAAGCCTGATGCACCCATGGGAGGGACACCCCTCAGACTCCCTGGGGTGGGCATCCCCGTGGCAGGTCAGGACTCATGAGAATGGCCACACGTGGCCTCCCAGGGCCACACTAGCTCCCCTTCAGCCTCTGCAGATGAGTGAGAGCCCACAGAGACCCCCACCTGCCTACCAGGCCCAAGGGATGTCATCGGCTGCTGGACCACCTGCCAACAGGGCTGAGGGGAAGCAGGGACCGGTCCTACCCCCAAGTCCACGATGAGCAGTTCCCACCCTGCATAACTGTCACCATTAGAATGTCACCTGTGAAGCTGGGCTCGGTGGCTCAGCCTGTAATCCCGCGCCTTGGGAGGCTGAGGTGAGTGGATTGCCTGAGCCCACGGGTTTGAGACCCGCCTGGGAACTTGGCGAGACCTCATCTCTACAATAAATCAAAAATGCGCCTGTAGTTCCAGCTACTTGGAAGGCTGAGGCGGAAGGATCGCCGGAGCCCAGAAGGTCGAGGCTGCGGTGGCCGGGAGGGGCCACTGCACTCCAGTCTGGGCGACGGAGTGAGACTCCTCCAACTCAAAAAAAAAAAAGAATGTCGCCTGCGAAATGTTCCTAATAAAAACACTCACTTAAAAGCCATTAGAGGTGTAGTTGACGGCCAGAGATTTATGAAGACTGAGGGACATGGGGAATGGCTAGTGTCGGGCACAGGCTTCCTCCGCCATATGCACCTGGGTCATGAGCAACTGGTTCCGTTGGACGGTCCAGCCTGTCTCGAGTGTCTCAGGCTGTGGTGTGCTGAAGGGGACCATCCCTGCGTCCTCCTCCTCCAGGGGGTTATTGGGGACAGAAGTCATGTTTTGCTTGGTTTTGTTTTCCTGGGTGATGTCAGATGCTCATGTCTGATTCCAAAAAGTTCCGTTTCTCTACCATTTCCGGCTCATGCTTGCCAGACAGAATCGGGTTGCTGTGACAAAGCCTGGGACGCCCTTTTGGACGGGCACCATGTGGGTGTGGGCAGTGGGGCTGCACTCCCGGGGGTTAAGGGATGGTGCTGGGGCTGGGCTTCAGGTCCGTGACTCTGGAGAGTTCCCAGGTATTTGGCCTGGAGGACCCTGGCCTTCCTCAGACCCTAGGTGGGGCTGGAGGTATGATCCAGTGAGGCCCAGTGGGCCCAGCGGGCAGCAACAGGTGTAGGGTCCAACGGGGAGGCCCATGTGGACACAAACAGGTGTGGTCATGCCAGAAAAGATGACAAGTCCCAGCCTGCATGGACCAGGTGTGGACCATGGAGCAGGGCCAAGGGCCCATCGTGGCTGTGACCGTCCCCAGTCCCAGCTGCATTAAAAACAAGACCCTCGAGGACAGTGTGTACCATGGCAGCAGGACCCCTCCCATACCCTGTGCCCACTGCCCCTCTCAGAGCAGCCGAGCAGGACATGGAGGTTCCCAAACTGCTCCCTCACCTCCAAGTGTGGAGGGCCCCTGGCTAGCAGGGGACTGTTCCTAGCCTGCAGCTCCCCTGAGGACAGTGGACAGGGCTGGGGCACCGGGGTCCTCAAGAGCAGACCAGACATTTTTGTTGTTCCCTCCATGAGGACTGAGTCTGGTTGCCCCTTCACTGCCATAACCCTTCCCTGGGAGACATGCCCTGAGCAGCTCCTCCAGGGAGAACAGCAGGGGAGGCCACCTCGTTGGGCCGGTCTCTTGCTTATGCTGACGGCATGTCTGAGGATGGGGCGACCCCGAGTGTGGGACTCCTTGGCAGGGAGATGCCTGGGTGGGCACTATCCACGGGGAGCCCCAGTGAGGCGAGCCCTCACCTCCTCCTCCTGTCCTCACCCCTTCCCCTCCATCTCCCCTTCTCTCCCCCCTCCCTTCCTCTCCCCTTTTCTCCACCCCTTCTCCTTCCATCCCCACTTCCCTCTCTGCCCCCTCTTCCCCTTCCCTCCTCTCCTTCCTCCCCAGCCTCTCTTTCCTCTCCCTCCTCCCCTCTCCCTTTCCCTCTTTCCCTCCCTCTCCCCTTCCTTCCCTTTCACTCCTCCTCTTCCCCTCTCCTTCTCCCCTTCTCTCTCCCTTCCCCTCCCCTCCCCTTCCAGCCCCTCCCTCCCACTTGCCCCAGTCTCTCTCCTGTGGTTTTCACCCTTGCTGCCTTCACCTTTGGACGGAAGACATGGAAGTTGCCAAAGACTCCGTGGGGGCTGGGCAAGAGCTCCTGCTTTCTGCTCTTCCCTCACTGCCTTCCAGGGAAAATCTGAGTCACAGTTTTGAGGGAACCGCTTTTGGAGTAGAAGACACCCTGGCTTGAGGTATTTGGAGCAAAC